GATTTGAAGTTTGAAATCAAAATGTATATTTTGAGATCAAAATTTATATTTCCATCACCCTTAATTAAATTTGTATTAAAAAATTTTAAATTTAATTCGAAAAAATCATATATATTATTTTAATATAAAATCAGATTTTTACTTATTATATTAGAAATCTTATTGAAAGGTTTCATTTATACATGAAATCTTAATAGATCATTAATATAATATGAGATATTAAACAAGAAAATAACATAGGAGCAAATTAATGATAAGGTATTTGTTTTGATGTTTAAATAATTAAATAAGATAATCTGAATTAAAGTATGAATACATCTTATGAGAGAGAGTAATAAGAATTTAAAGATCTTTAAATTTTATAAATGAATTGTAATTTGGTAATAAGATCTAATAAATTATTTTAGAATAATTCTTATAAATTTATTTTTTTCTAACTTAGATTTGATAGTGTAATGGGATCCTCAGAAATAGGAGATTAGTAAGGATTGGAATAGACTAAGACAGAACCTTCTCAAAATGGCACATACTCAGATAATGCAGACTCAAAATAAACGAAAGTGATTCCTCGAAGTCTGAGTTGGTTGAATGTTAGGATTGATCATTTATTTTTCTAAATATTTTATCAAAATTCAAGAGTATAAGAAGATAATCTACGATAAGGAAAGTTTGTGTTTATTCTGAATAATGCAATAGTTCACATAAATAAAATGATGGCTCCTTTGCTAAACAAGATACCCCATGTTTTTAATCCTCCATATAGACCAGATGTCAGATGTGATGCCATTGAGCATTTATTTTCTTGGATTAAGAGATATATTGTGAAAGAATAACCACTCCTATTTGGTACATTTCAACAAACCTTTCATCACGCTTTGTCAAATGTCAATGAAAATCTTCCACATTTTCAAACCAATGTACCTAGTATTTTTTCAAATATGTGATACATAATTTTAGCAATTAAGTAAATATAAGTTTCACTTAAGTATTTATTGACAAATTCTTGTTATTTTAGGTGGAAATACTTGTTATTTATAGAAATTTAATTTTTAATCTTAAAATACAAGTAGTTTGCCTTGAAAGGTAATTCTCTATCATCAACATAATTATATTCAAATTTAAAATCAAAAAGTGATACCAAAGTAGTTCTTTAACTTAATTATCTGAGCCTAAGTATTCAAAAAAAGGAGAATATTTTAGTTTAAAAATCTCACGACAAATCTCCACTAAATTTAATTCATTAAAGAATTTAATTTTAATCTACTTTTTTTAGGAATTGAATAACCATACTCATTTTTTAGAAAACGCAGTTATTGTATAACTTAAATTATAATAGATTAAAACTCTAGTCTTTTAAAAATAATATTCAGAATCAGTATCAAATGAAACATAATCGATTTCATGATTGAAATTTTATGAAGATATTGACGAATTAAAATCTCAGTATATAAAGTTTCATATTTGTCTCCTTACATATTCTTATAGAAAAGAATTATTAATCATTAATTTAGTATCATTTTTCATTTTGAGTTCACTGGAGACTTTGCAGTAGGATTACAAAAAATGCTATTACATTTTACATTTTTTGATCTTGTTATTTGTAGACTAGGATATGCATTTGAAACAATAAGCAGCATTAAAAAAAATTATCAATTGTAATGAATAATGTAAACTAAAATATAAATTATTAATCAAATAAATAATTCATATCCTAAGTTCTTCATTCTCTTGATCTATTAAGCGTGGTTATCATATTAGTAAATCACTTTATTTATTTCTATAAATATACTATCTATAAAGCTGAAGAGTAGTTTTAAAAAGTTGTAATTAAAAGTGCACCACACATAATTCCTTCTAAACAAAAATTAAATAAGAAGGTTTTTGTTTGTACATTTTTATCCATTAAAATGAATGTAACTATGTGAATCACTATTTGGTTAATTATTCTTCAATTAAGTACGAAATATCCAGTTTATTTTTCAATTCATCATCTTCAAAGACATTTGTTTCAATAGATTTCTATAATACAAAAGACCCTTAACCTATTATCAATAATAAAATATAATTTAGCATACAATACTCTATTCTTTTGTAATATTATATTTAATATTATAATAATTTTTATCTAGAGGAGCAAGCTCAAGGATATCCCTCTTTATAACTAAAGATAATAAATAATAATTAGAGTTTAAAATATTGTATATTTTAAGATTGCAAGGAGAGATTAGAGAAATAATTATTAAAAATTCAATTTTTGTTGTTTTTTAATTCATTTAATAATCAATATATTCATATATTTCGTTTTTCTGTTCTCAGATTACTCTTTATATGTGCAAGTCTTTAGAAGACTTCATAGTAGAAGAGCATTTAAAAACAGCAAATAAAATTATGAAATTAACTTAACCAGATTTGAATCATTAATTTTTTTTTATGGCTCAATCTATGATACTTCTTTATATATATTTTCTATTCAGTTTTGTTTAAAATTTAAATACATTATTAATCATCTAACTTGGATATTTTAAAGATTTGATTCAATTAATGATATCATTCTTAAATTAGATTTAATTCAATTTATCATTGTTTTGTTGTTCTTACTTCCTATTCTATTCTAAATTGTAAAATATGTATTTTTCAACAGATATAAATAGTTATTCAGTTTTTTTTTTTGAATTTAAATTATCCAATGAATTTATTTAATTAAATCATATGCTTTAGATTGATACCATATTTTTTCAATATTTTCTTTTATTCAATTTGTTATTATACATTAATGTAAGCAAAATTTTTATAATCGTAAATTTTTGTGAAAAAGATTTTTGGTGTATAAAAATTAATAGTTTATCAATTTATTACTAGAGCATCACTAGCGAAAGATTAATTTTGATAAAATTCTTTTTTCAAAAAAATTGTTATTAATAAACAAAATTCTGAAAATTTTTTAAGGCGATTTCAAAACAAGCCTCATGAAGCTAAATCATCTTACTTTAATTATTTGCTATTAAGATTATCTGTTCATTTGTAAAATTGAATTAGGCATTTCAAAAACTTGAGAAATTAAATTTTTACAAAACAAAGAAATGCATAATTATGATATTACAAATAGAACGAGACAATATTAATATAAATTACAATTCATTCTTCAATAATGATAAAAAGCAAATTCTATTCTTTTAGTATGACGGATTTCTAATGATTATTGTATATTTTAATTGAATCTTTATTTTTAATTAAGCAATTAAAAGAAAAAGGTTTTATGTATTTTTCAAACACTGGTTAATATTCATCTGAAAAGAAGAAAATATATAAAATGTAAATCTAATAATGATTAGAAATATAAGACAAAATTTGAAATAAATATTTTAAGGATATTCATTGAATTAAACTTTCTTCATGCAACACCTGAAAAGAAGAAAAATTTATAACAAATACGTAATAAATAAATGAAAAAATAGACATTTGTTTACCACACCATTTAGCAAAGTGAACAAATAAGGTTTTTGTTAAAATTTTTGAATTAAAAAAAAAAAGAAAGTCCATACAAACATTAGAAGTAACTAACTTAAAAGAATTTACAAGTTGATATGATATCAATTGTTTAAAAAAATAAGAATAAAATATGCAGCAATATTCGTAACATTTTTGTGATATGAATAGTTACTGCTATTGAGTTGTTGCGTTCTAATTCATTTGATAATGATTATGCAATTTAGGAAAATTTTGAAGATTACAGAGCATTTGTCAATAAAGGTAAGAGTTAATTTAATTAATTAAACTTAGCAAATACAAAAAGTTTAAACAGACTTGAATTAGCTTAATAATACTAAGCTTATGCAATTTAAAAAAATCTCAAAGATTATTAAGCTTTTGTTAGTCTAGGTAAAAGTTCATTTTATAAATAACTTAGCAAGTATATTAGTAAGTGCAAACAGATCTGAAGAAGCTTTATAATATTATGATTATGCAATTAAAAAAAACCCTGAAGATCATTTAGCTTTTTTAAATAAAGGTAAGAGTTCATTTTATTAATTAATTTTAGCAAATACATTATTAAGTTTAAACAGATTTGAAGAAGCTTTATAATATTATGATTATGCAATTAAAAAAAACCCTGAAGATTATTTAGCTTTTTTAAATAAAGGTAAGAGCCCATTTTATTAATTAAACTTAGCAAATACATTAGTAAGTTTAGACAGATCTGAAGAAGCTTTATAATATTATGATTATGCAATCTAAAAAAATCCTGAAAATGCTGATATATATTATGATAAATGTTAGAATTTATTTTATTAATTAATTTTAGCAAAATCATTAAAAAAATTAAATAGATTTTAAGAAGCTTAATAATATTATGAATATGCAATTCAAATAAATCTTAAAGATTAAAGAGCTGTTTTCAATAAAGGTAAGAATTCAACTGAATGATAAGACTTAGCAAGTTTCTAAATAAGAATACACAAATCTGAAGATTCTTTATAATATTATTATAGTGCAATTAAAAACAAACCTGAAGATTATTTAGCTTTCTTAAATGAAGGTTAGAGTTCATTTTTTTAATTAAATTTAGCAAATACATTAGAACGTTTTAACTAATCTGAAGAAGCTTTATAATATTATGATTAGGAAATTTAAGAAAATCCTGAAAATTATTTAGCTTTTTTCAATAAAGGTAAGAGTTCATTTTATTAATTTCATTTAGCAAATATATTAGTAAGTTTAAACAGATTTGAGGAAGCTTTACAATATTATGATTCTGCAATTTAAATAAATCCTGACGATTATGCAGCTTTTCTCACTAAAGGTAAGAGTTGATTTTATTAATTGAACTTAGCAAATACGTTATTACGTTTAAACAGACCTGAAGAAGCTCTATAATATTATGATTATGCAATTTACAAAAAAAAATATCCTTAAGATTATAATATTTTTTTCAATAAAGGTAAGAGTTCATTTTATTAATTTAATTTAGCAAGCTCTTTAAAAATTTTAAAAAGATTTGAAGAAGCTATAAAATATTATGATTATGCAATTAAAATAAAACCTAACGATTATAAAGCTTATTTATAAAAAGGTAAGAATTCATTTTATTATATAAATTAAGCAAATACATTAGTAAGTTTAAACAGATTTGAAGAAGCTTTATAATATTATGATTATGCAATTGAAAAAAATCCTGGAGATACTGATATATGGAATGATAAAGGTTAAATTTTATTTTATAAATGATATTTAGCAAATACATTAAATCTATTGAATAGATTTGAAGAAGCTTTATAATATTATGATTATGCAATTTAAAATAATCCTGACGATTATAAATCTTTTTTCAATAAAGGTAAGAGTTCATTTTATTATATAAATTAAGCCAATACATTAGAAAGTTTAAACAGATTTGAAGAAGCTTTATTATATTATGATTATGCAATGCAAAAAAATCCTGGAGATGCTGATATTTATAATAATAAAGGTTAGAATTTTTTTTATCAATTTTTTTTAGCAATTACATTAAAACAATTAAATAGATTTGAAGAAGCTTTAAAATATTATGATTATGCCATTGAAATGAATCCTGAACTCTCTGAAATCTATAATAATAAAGGTAAGAAATAATTTTATTAATTACATTTAGCAAATGTATTACAACAATTAAATAGATTTGAAGAAGCTTTAATAAATTATGATTATGGAATTAAAAAAAATCCAGTTAATGATCAATTATTTTACCATAAAGGTAAGAATTTATTTTATTAATTAAATTTAGCAATTTCATTATAAAGTTTAAAAAGATTCAAAGAAGCTTTATAATATTTTGATTATGCAATTTTAATAAATCCTATAAATTATTCTGCTTTTTTCAACAAAGGTATAAGTTCATTTTATGAATTAAATTTAGCAAATACATTAGTAAGTTTAAACAGATTTGAAGAAGCTTTAAAATATTATGATGATGCAATAAAAATAAATCCTTAAAATTATAATGCTTTTTTCAATAAAGGTATAAGTTCATTTTATGAATTAAATTTAGCAAATATATTAGTAAATTTAAAAAGATAAGAAGAAGCCTTATTATGTTATTAGTGTGCAATTGAAAACAATCCTAAAGATACTGATATTTATAATAATCAAGGTTAGAATTCATTTTATTAATTAAATTTAGCAAATACATTGAAGCAATTAAATAGATTTGAAGAAGCTTTATAATATTATGATTATGCAATTTAGAATAATCCTGACGATTATAAAGCTTTTTTCAATAAAGGTAAGAGTTCATTTTATTAATTTCATTTAGCAAATACATTAGTAAGTTTAAACCGATTTGAAGAAGCTTTATAATATTATGATTATGCAATTTAAATAAATTCTGAAAATTCTGATATATATACTAACAAAGGTACAAATTAATTTTATGAATTAATATTAGCAAATACATTAAAGCAATTAAATAGATTTGAAGAAGCATTTTTATATTATGATTATGTAATTTAAATAAATCCTGACGATTATAAAGCTTTTTTCAATAAAGGTAGGAATTAATTTTATTGATTCAATTTAGCATATTTATTATAAAGTTTAAACCGATTTAAAGAAGCGTTATAATATTATGATTATGCAATTTAAAAAAATCCTGACGATTATAAAGCTGTTTTCAATAAAGGTAAGAGTTCATTTGATTATTTAAATTTAGCAAATACATTAGTATGTTTAAATAGATCCGAAGAAGCGTTATAATATTATGATTATGCAATTTAAAAAAATCCTGACGATTATAAAGCTTTTTTCAGTAAAGGTAAGAGTTCAATTTATTATTTAAATTTAGCAAATACATTATTACGTTTAAATAGATCTGAAGAAGCTTTACAATATTATGATTATGCAATTTAAAAAAATCCTCTAGATACTGATATATTTAATTATAAAGGTTAGAATTTATTTTATTGATTAAATTTAGGAAATACATTAAAAAAGTTAAACAGATTTGAAGAAGCTTTATAATATTTTGATTATGCAATTTAAATCAATTTTGAAGATTATTATGCTTTTTTCAATAAAGGTTTAAGTTCATTTTATTAATTTAATATAGCAAATACCTTAGTTAATTTAAACAGACCTGAAGAAGCTTTATAATATTATGATTATGCAATTTAAAAAAATCCTGGAGATACTGATATTTATAATAATAAAGGTTAGAATTTATTTGATTATTATATTTAGCATCTATATTAAAACAATTAAACAGATTTGAAGAAGCTTTATAAAATTTAGATTATGCAATTTAAATCAACTCTGAAGATTATTATGCTTATTTCAATAAAGGTAGAAGTTCATTTATTAATTAAATATAGCAAATTTTTTAGTACATTTAAACAGATCTGAAGAAGCTTTATAATATTATGATTAAGCAATTTAAAAAAACCCTGGAGATATTGAATTATATAATAATAAAGGTTAGAATTTTTACTATATAATAAATTAAGCATTTACATTAAAACAATTGAATAGATTTGAGGAAGCTTTATAATATTATGATTATGCAATTTAAATAAATCCTGACGATTATAAAGCTTTTTTCATTAAAGGTAAGAGTTCAATTTATTATTTAAATTTAGCAAAAACATTAGTACGTTTGAGTAGATCTGAAGAAGCATTAAAATATTTTGATTATGCAATTTAGAAAAATCCTAAAAATTCTGATATATATAATGATAAAGGTTAGAATAAATTTTATTAATTAAACTTAGCAAATACATTATAACAATTAAATCGATTCGAAGAAGCTTTACAATATTATGATTATGCATTTTACATAAATCCTGATGATTATAAAATTTATTTTAATAAAGGTAAGAGTTCAATTTATTAATTAAATTTAGCAAATACATTAGTATGTTTAAACAGATCTGACGAAGCTGCATAATATTATGATTATGCAATTTCAAAAAGTCCTGAAGGTTATAATGCTTTCATGTAAAAAGGTAATTATTAAATTTACTTAACTAAGCTAATCTATTTAAAAATTTAAATAAATTTGAAAACCATTCTTGATATATTAAAAATATATCAACTTATAATTAAATTTTTTTTCGGTTAAATATATTCTTCTAAGATTTTGTGTTTTTACTGGCCTTACTATGGACAGGTTATGTAAAGAATTTAATTTTATAATATATCATATATTTCTACTAAGACATACGGTTCCTCGAAATTGTTTGGCCCATTAGTAGGTTTGCCTAAAAAGTCAGATAATGTTTAATTTTCTAACTATGTGTTGAATTTGGTATATTTTATCAAATTTGAAAAAAACAATTTTTGCATTCACAAAAACAAATTTGGGTTTGGTTTTTTTTTTTATATTTTTGTAAAAAACTAAAATTTTGAAGAAAAAATATTGTGATAAAGGAGAAAAAAAATTTTGCTAAACTTAAAGCTAGCAGAATTTTATATTGTTGAATGTTCTAAGAATAATTTTTTTCTTTTTTTATTATATAATTTTTTGTAAAGACAAAATTGGCCCTTTATAAATTTATTTCGGCAGTCAGATAATGTTGAATGTTCTAACAAT